ATTTATTCCGAGGACTTTCGACACTAGCGCAATGTCATCATCAGGGTGTTGTTTTTTTCTAAGACAAAGTAAGGTATGTAGGTATGTATTTTGGTCGATGGCTGGGATTAAAGAAAACAATGTCGTTTTCAGTTAAAATATTTTTATTTACAAGAAGTGACCATTAGCAACAGGGACCGGAAGTTTTAATAATTTTAAAGGGGGCAGTTAATGAACTATCTCATTCTTTTTCTGTCTATTTATCTATCTCAATCTGTTCATATCTATCTATCTATCTATCTATCTATCTATCTATCTATCTATCTATCTATCTATCTATCTATCTATCTATCTCAATCTGTTCATATCTATCTATCTATCTATCTATCTATCTATCTATCTATCTCAATCTGTTCATATCTATCTATCTATCTATCTATCTATCTATCTATCTATCTATCTCAGTCTGTTCATATGTATAAAATAGACTCTCCGTTTTTTATTGCACGTCCGATATGTCAAGCACATTTTCTTGATTAAGATGTACCGCTGGCTTGTCGACGTGTTACATACTGTTTAAAACAAGATTAGGGCGTCTATTTCAAATACGAGCGTTTGCCACACACACACGTATACACATACACGCACGCACACACGCACGCACGCACACACACACACACACACACACACACACACACATATATATATATATATATATCTAGTTAAGATGAGAAATTAATACTTGACTCACTAGTAATTTATAATCGACTCAGGAGACGCAATGATATGCCTCGAAACACGATCGCCATCATGTTGCGATTTTTAACATGTTTTTTATTTAATATCCCAAATAAATTATATATATATTTCTTTCATTCTCATATATATATATATATATATATATATATATATATATATATATATATGTATATATATATACATATATCAGTTTACTGTCTATCTATCTATCTATCTATCTATCTATATATATATATATATATATATATATATATATATATATATATATATATGTATATATATATATATATGATAGATTGCAAAAAATAATGACGTAATAATGTCGTTTTTTTTGACGTTAAAAAATACGTCAAAAAACGACATTATTACGTCATTATTTTTGCACCAACCTAATATATATATATATATATATATATATATATATATATATATATATATATATATTTCATGACGAAATGCGTTTGAATAAAAAGATACCTTTAGTAATGTTTTCTTTACAAATAGATTTATTCATATCTGAATTTTTCCACCCCACATATCCTTCTGTCTTTCGGTAGCTATCCCGCTGCCTCCACTTTTTCGTTTGGCCTACAACATGTCCTGGGAGGAAAAACAGAAAAAAAATCGTTAGAAAGAAAGAAGTACTTGAACATTATGTAATGTCAGTTCTCCAATATGGCAGTGACTGCTGGACAATCTCATAGATGAATAAGAGACTTGAGGCAAAAGATATGTGGTTCTACAGAAGGATGCTGAGAATATTACTGAACATGTAGCAGAACGTGGACATCATCGCTGGTAACGTCTGTTTTCCCCAGTCGACTGCCGACTGAACTCTCTTTCCACGTATCGCGTTCGGACGAGTTATGCAACTTCACTCATGAAGTAACTATTTTGGTCGTTCCCACTCAGCGCCAAGCTGACTTGAGACCGAGCATTATGACCATTCTTATCATTACTTACCCTAACTTATTCCTGAACCAAAAAAGAAAACGGACATACCTAAGAGACATTGATAATTTTGTTTTACTACAATTTCTCTATATAAATAAGCATATAAGGTCCGTAGGAAAGCGAGTAGAAATGATCAGACATCAACTGGAAAATACAGAATGCGTGGTTGTTGGCAAAAAGATGAGCCCAAAGTGCGAATTCCAAATCGGAAGTAACAAAATCAAACAAGTGCGGAAATTTAAATATTTGGGAAGTGATTTAACAGAGGACGGAAAGAACGACACTGAAATCCCAAGATGCTTTTGGGATAGTCAAGAAAGCAGTTCAAAAGATAAGCAGTGTTAAGAAATAGGAGATAGATAGATAGATAGATATTAATAGATAGATAGATAGATAGATAGATAGATAGATATGAACAGAGATAGATAGATAGATAGATAGATATTAATAGACTGAGATAGATAGATAGATAGATAGATAGATAGATAGATAGATAGATAGATAGATGAACAGACTGAGATAGATAGATAGATAGATAGATATTAATAGACCGAGATAGATAGATTGATAGATAGATAGATATGAACAGACTGAGATAGATAGATAGATATTAATAGACCGAGATAGATAGATAGATAGATAGAGATAGATAGATAGATAGATAGATATTAATAGACCGAGATAGATAGATAGATAGATATGAACAGAGATAGATAGATAGATAGATATTAATAGACTGAGACAGATAGATAGATAGATAGATAGATATTAATAGACTGAGATAGATAGATAGATAGATAGATAGATAGATAGATAGATAGATAGATAGATAGATAGATATGAACAGACTGAGATAGATAGATAGATAGATAGATAGATAGATAGATAGATAGATAAACATTAACTGCAAGAAGACAAAAGGATAAGCCCAAAGTGCGAATTGGAAATCGGAAGTAACAAAATCAAACAAGTGCGGAAATTTAAATATCTGAGAAGTGATATATCAGAGGACGGAAATTATGATACTGAAATCCCAAGATGCTTTGTGATAGCCAAGGAAGCAGTCCAAAAAGCTAAGCAGAGTACAAAGAAACAGAAATATTTTGCTAGAAACAAAGAAAAGAGTGCTAAACTGCTATGTAATATCTATCCTCTTGTATGGCAGTGAATGCTGGACAACCTCATAGATGAATAAGAGACTTGAGGCAAAATATATGTGGTTCTACAGAAGGATGCTGAGAATACTACTGAAGATGTGAGCCGCGGCTAATTATTAGGGGAAACACCTAAAAATAGACCTTGTGTCACATCTCGTCCAAATGGGGGGGGGCAGAGTAAATACCGTGTATAAATTATGGTGTGTCAATTCCTCTCGAGGAGTTTCTAACACATTACTTATCATCTCTCAGTTGCGTCTCTGTCTTTGTGCAGAATGCGCGCAGGGGCTACTCTGTCAAAGGACAGAGTGGAAACTGAGGAAAATTATACAGAGAGGTGCCCAGCCCTGGGGAAGTGCTGCCCGAGGTCGTGCCCTCTCATGGCACCAGAGAGAAGGAACGGTGCTCGCACCGAGGCCAGCGTAACTGACAGTTGCGGGGGCTGTGGGCAATTTTTGTTCCTTGCCCGGGTGTTCGCGCTCGGGTCCCTACCTTAAAAAAAAGACTTTGTGTCACATCTCGTCTCAGCGGGGAGACAGAGTAAATACCGTGTATAAATTGCTATAAAGTAGATTTGGGGCTTTTAAACCCCAGAATTCGTTGGATAATTGTGCTCCAATTTTGCATTTGTTCATATAGATTCCATAATATAGCTTTTACTTAATTAGCTATTATATTTCTCTAAGTCTTCTAATATTGAATGTACAACTAATTTCTATTTTCCCATCTTTACACGATATTAATTTTTCCCATGTTTGTCAACCATGAAATAAAAATAATTGTTTGTACGGAAAGTAAGGACCTACGTACATCAAATCGTCTTTAAGTAGCAGCAGAAGAATTATCGTTGAACTTTTAAAAGGTAAGCTGAAACATTAATTCAATATTTAAATGCAGCGATCAATTTTGAGTTCTTCTGTAGTTTATAGATGCCTATCACAGAGAGATAAGAATAAGAGACTTGAGGCAAAGATATGTGGTTCTACAGAAGGATGCTGAGAATACCACTGAACATGTGAGCAGCGGCTAATTATTAGGGGAAACTGGAAACAAAAAGGACTCATACTTAGAATCAGAAAAAGACAGTTAATATTTCTAGGACAGATCATGAGGAAAGAGAGCTTGGAGAATTTAACACTCACAGGACACACTAAAGGCGAGAGAGAGAGAGAGAGAGAGAGAGAGAAAGAGATGAAAGCACTGAATAATCTTCCTGACGAGCTTATGTAAATGGCTGACAGAACAGGGATTAGAAAAGATTGCAAAATAAAAACAAAAACAAAATTTACTAAGATCTACAAAGAACAGGAAGTTGTGGAGAACATTGGCCGCTTATGCCCTGAAGAAGAAAAGAATAGAGAAGCGTCAGTTTAAACTGACGCCAGGAGAATACGAGTTAAAAAAAAAGATTGCTGACATAACTTTCCTTTGGAAAGATAACGATTTAGATTCTCTTAGACTGGCTACCAACCAAGGCTACAGAATAGCCAGTCGTCGATATTATGTAAGCGATTGCTGGAGCGAATGGTTTTATGAATTTACTGTGTCATCGATGAAACACGTACATTCCTGCACAGTTACTGATAAAAAAATAAATTGTTTTGGGGGCACATGAAAGTTTTCAGCGTACTTAGTAACAGGCGTGGTCATGTCTTAAAACGCATGCGCTGAATAATGTTTGCTCGAACACGGATTTTGATAAAGCTTCCCTCTTCGTAATTAGATGCGACTGTGATTACACCTGATCTTAACATCTTTGTCACTTTGCGCATGCTCAGAACGGTTGATCTCTTTGATGTCGTCAAAATATCTGAAGAGGAAAAAAATGTTCCCATTAAAATGGCTTTATGCCTTTTTTTCATAATTTTCTACTTCGAAAAAAGCTGTCGTTTCGAATCTAATAAATCGTGAAAAATTAATATTGATACCTTTGAATTGGTTTTTGCCTTCCTGTTTTTTTTTTATTTGATTGTTGTTTTATGCGTTTTATTTTCTTTTCTGAATAATAATAATAATAATAATAATAATAATATTAATAATAATAATATTAATAATAAACAGGTTTAAAAAAGCGATTCTCCTTGCGTTTTATCTTCCTACGTTGCTTCGGGTTTTTGGACATTTAATTTGTGTTCATGTATAAGTGTGCGTATGTCTCTCTCTCTCTCTCTCTCTCTCTCCTCTCACTCTTTCACTGTGTATGTGTGTGTCTGTGGTGTGTGTGTGTGTGTGCGTGCGTGTGTCTTTTGCGGATCAAAGCTTTGCTGCTGGAGTCAAGGCAAGCCTCCCCCACCCCAACAATCACGTATACGCCCTTAATAACAAGAATCCTAACAACAACCACAACAACAACAACAACAACAACGTAAGATCAACTATGAAAAAAATCAAATAAAATAAGCTTTGAAACGCCTGATCCATTCCCGTAAACACCGGGGTCACAGGTTATGTTTGTCGTTTGGTAAAGTCATTACGAAAAGCCGCCAGCTTTATTCAAAGACTCCTGTCCAGTGGCGTCGATAAAATCTCGCCTGATGGTTAAATATACGAACATGATGCTTGTGTTGTTGTTGTTGTTGTCGGAGTTGCTTGATGGCCAACGAGGTCGATTGAATTGCTGGAGAGTTAAAAGCTTCTTTCTTTATATTAATTATTTTTATTGATTTTTTTTTATATTGTTTTCTTCTTAGGCTTTGGCATTCTTGACAATTAACTCTTCTAAGTTGACTAAACCAATTGAGTGCTTGCTTTCCTTCTTTCTTTCTTTTTTGTAAGTTGCCCGATTCAATTGGTTTTTTTTTTCTTTCTTTCTTTCTTTCTTTTCTTTCTTTCTTTCTTTCTTTCTTTCTTTCTTGTAAGTTGCCTAATTCAATTGGTTTACTGTATTTTTTTCTCTTTTGTTCATATCAACCCCTTTTCATTCTTATTCTGTTTATCTATCTATCTATCTATCTATCTATCTATCTATCTATCTATCTATCTATCTATCTCAGTCTGTTCATATCTATCTATCTATCTATCTATCTATCTATCTATCTATCTATCTATCTGACGTGCCCTTTCATAGCCCCGTTGATTCCTCCTCTCCGTGCACGGCATTTCTCAATTACGTCAACCGCTTACAATTCTTATTTCATCTTTCTTTCTTTCTTTCTTTCTTTCTTTCTTTCTTTCTTTCTTTCTTTCTTATTCTCTTTCTTTCTTTCTTTCTTTCTATGCTGTGTTCTTTTTTCTTTCTCTTCTTTCTTTCTTTCTCCTCTTTCTTTCTCCTCTTTCTTTCTCACACGCGGTCATTTCCTGTGTTTTAATCACTGTTTTTTTCTTCTTCATAGATTACACACAAGTTAACCAGTTACGCATCGATATTACATCACCGACCCTTTTAATTACCTTTCCCTTTGAAGTGGAGATTTGTTTTATTTACGCCGGAAAATAGTTATCTTGTTTTCCATTTAATATACGCTGGTCTATATCGACCGTAAATCAGGCTTCGTTTCTGATTCGATGCCAGTCATTTACTTGCTTTTTATTCTTGGCTCACTTATTTCTACCAATGACCCTGGTTTTATCGCTTTCAGAAGCCTTAGAACAATTAGCGTGGAATTAAAACCCGAATTAAGAATGAAAAAAAAAAAAAAGAATTATGATGTTAAGCTAATGGCGTTCGATTGATGAGAAAAAATGTTGTAGTTTGGGTTAAAAGGCAAGTCTCCCTAATTGCCTTTTTCCAGGAATGGTAGGGATTTTTGTCATTTTTTTGTCAAATGATTCAGTTGATCGTAAGCATTATGGATTCGTAATTTGAATACTCGATTACTTTGATCCGAAAATTGGCTATAGAAGTTTCGACAGGGTTTGAGTAGAAGGCAGAGGAAGAGATAGATAGATAGATAGATAGATAGATAGATAGATAGATAGATAGATAGATAGATGTGGATGAGTGAGAGGGAAGAGAAAAGGAAGTGCAAGAGAATAAGGAAGGGATAACAGGAACACGTAAGGCAGGAAAGCAAAAATAGAAAGCAATCAAGCTAGAACGAAAGAAAGAACGAAAGAAAGAAAGAAAGAACGAAAGAAAGAAAGAAAGAACACAGAGCACAGAAAGAAAGAAAGAAAGAAAGAAAGAAAGAAAGAAAGACAGCAAGAAAGAACACATAACATAAAATGAAGGAAAGAAAGAAAGAAAGAAAAACCAAATAAAGAAAGAAAGAAAAATAAAGAAAGATAGGAAGAAAGACAGAATGTTAAATATATAATTTAAGAAAAGTCTTCGAGGAGGACGAAATATTTGAATGAAAAGAAAGAAGAAAGAAAGAAAAAAAGAAAGCAAGAGACAAAGAATGTTTAATATATAATAATTCAGGGAAAAGTCTTTGGGAAGAAGAAAAGAAAGAATTTATGAGCAAAAAGAAAGAAAGAAAGAAAGAAAAGAAGAAAAGTGATAATACGCTTAAGTAAGTGTTATTTATATACTGATGAACGAAAAAAGTGAAAAAGACGAAAGAAAGAAGAAAAAGAAAGGGAAACAAAAAGAAGGAAGAAAAAGTTTGTAAATATAGAAAGGGAAAAAAGAAAAGAAAGAACGAATTCTGTAAACGAAGAAAGAAAGAAAGAAAAGGCGAAATAAAAAAAAAAGAATAAAAATTAGAAAAAAAGTAAATATGTAAATGTATAGAGATGGGAGACGGGAAAGAAAGAAAAAAGAAAGAAAGAAAAAAGAAAAAAGAAAGAAAAAGTAGGTGAAAACTGATGACCACAGCCAGAAAATAGAGAAAGAGCATATTAAAAACAATAAAACTACGGCGAAAAAACAGAGAACAGACAAGCGAATGGGGATAAGGAAGAAAGAAAGAAAGAAAGAAAGAAAGAAAGAAAAGAAAAGGGAGAGGGAGATGTAGAAAGAAAGAAAGAAAGAAAGAAAGAAAGAAAGGTGAAAAGTAAAACGCGGAAGAATCTACTATTTATATAAAGATGAACGATAAACACCAAAGAACTAAATATAGAAGAAAGGAAAACGAAAAGAAGGAAGGAAGAAATTGTGTAAATATAGGAAAAAAAGAAATGAAGAAAGAAGGAATTCTGTAAACGGATAAATGAAAGGAAGAGAGAAAGAAAGAGAGAAAACGAGAAAGAAGGAAAAAGAACGACAGAAAGAACGAAAAAAGAAAGAAAAGAGAGAAAGAAAGAGAAAGAACGAAAGAAAGAAAAGAGAAAGAAAGAAAGAGAGAAAGGAAGATAGAAAGAAAGAGAGAAAAAGAGAAAAAGAGAAAAAGAAAGAGAGAAAGAGGAGAAGAAAACATGTTTATGACGAGAAAATAAAGAACATTGAAAAATGGCGATGTTTACGGCGTAGACAAAAGCAGAAAGAAATGAAAAAGAATAAAGGCTAAATCGTAGAAAAGAAAGAAAGAAAAAGGAATAGTGAGGATAATAGCTAGAAAGAAAGAAAGAAAGAAAGAAAGAAAGAAAGAACAAAAAAGAGCGAGAAAAAGAAACAAAGAAGGTGGAATCGAAAAGAAAGAAAAAAGAAAGAAAGAAAGAACAAAAAAGAGCGAGAAAAAGAGAAAAAGAAACAAAGAAGGTGGAATCGAAAAGAAAGAAAAAAGAAAGAAAAAAAAAAAAGAAAGATAAAAAGAGAAAAAGAAGCGAAAGTAGGAAGAGCAATGGGAGAAGAAAGAATCGAAAAGAAAGAAAGAAAAAAAGAAAGAAAAAATAACTCTTCTTTTATCTGCTGTGTCCCTTCAGAACGTAAGCGATCATGGTCCTCCACATCTTCTTGTCCATTCTAGATCTTAATAAGTTTTGTTTTTTGTTATTTCTCTTAAACCCTGTAACGCCATACTTTTACTCATTAAGTACGTCATGCGCTGTTTTCCTCTGTCCCTCTTGCGCTCAATCTGTCCTGTGAGTATCAGATTTTCCAAACCCACCTTCCTCATTTTGTTTCCATTTTTCCTCAAACCTCGTCGTTGCTCACATTTTCGGCCAATCGTATTGTCAGCATCTTTTTGTAGAACCACATTTCTGTTACTCTTCTTCATCTTTGAAAAGATTGTCCAGCATTTGTTGCCATACCAGAGGACAGATATCACATAATAGTTCAGTACTTTTTTTTTCTTTGTTTTTGCTGCTTCATGTCTCTTTTTCATCTTTGGAGAGATTGTCCAGCATTCGCTGCCATACAAAAGGACAGTTTGGTTTGGTTTGGTTTGGTTTGTTTTACGGCATATCAACCACAATGGGTCATTTAATGCCAACAACTTTTTTTTTTTCCTGGTAATATATTTACTTTGTCAAAAATCTATTTCTGGTAATATGTTTTTCCTCAGAATTGTATAGCTGGTAATATTTTCAAAAACATATTGCTGGTAATAGTTTTTTTCTTTCAAAATTTATTTCTGGTAATTTTTTTACAGAGTATTTCTGGTATTAAAACCTATTTTTACACTTTCATTATGCTTTTTACCTCAGTTTCGGGGTTAACTATTTGTCCATAGCTGGGACCCTATCAGGTGCTATCACCCCGGGTCAGGGTGGACCTGAGAACGCCAGCAATTAAGAATTGGTTCCATGCTCCTCAAAGCCTCCTGATCAGAGGCCTTGCTGTTGGATGAGTGAGAGGGAAGAGAAGGGGAAGTGCAAGAATAAGGAAGTGATGCAAAAGGACAGACATCACAAAATAGTTCGGTACTTTTTCTTTGTTTCTTTTACTTCAAGTCTCTTTTCCATCTTTGAGGAGATTGTCCAGCATTCGCTGCCATACAAGAGGACGGATACCACGTAACAGTTCAGTACTCTGTTCTTAGTTTCTAACGATTTTTTTCTGTCTCTTAATAATCTGCTTAGTTTTTGGAAGGCATCTTTGTCCATCCCAATACGTCTTCAGATCTCAGTGTCGCACTTTTCGTCCCCTTTTAGAACACTTCCGAGATATTTGAATTTGTGTACTTGTTTGATTATCCCCGATATGTAATTTGGGCTCATCCTTTTGCTGAAAACCATGCATTCTCTCTTCTTGTAGTTTATAGTTAGTCCTTTCTTCTCGCTTTCCTTTGCTACATTCTATAGAAGCTTTTATAGTTTGCATCACGTATCAGCTATCCACACTGTTCCTTCTGCATGTCTTATTTTGTTAAGATTGAGTCCGCTAATAATAAATCCTGGTAGGACATCTAATTCTCTCAGATTTGCCTCGCTGAATAAGTCCGGTGAGAAGACTCATTCTTGTCTTACACTCCTTTCTATTTTTGTATAACTGCTGAACTCATTTTCTGTTCATATGCAGGTGATTTTCTTCCAGTATAGATTCTTGATTATTCTAATATCACTTGCATTATTTACATTATTCGGATTGTTATCCTCATCTTCATTGCTATATTCACGAGGTTGCGGCCGTTTTACGCTTCAGCCTTCTTCAAGTAAGTAAAATTTCGAACCGAAACCTTTATTTCGTTCACCGGGGTAGATTGTTCTAGTTCCACGTGGCACGCCTCTTCCTGATGTCTCAGTTATTTCCCTTTAACTCAAATCTCCAAGTTTTGGTTCACCACTGCAGTGGCCTGTTATTAAACTCACAACTGTTTGATATATATATATATATATATATATATATATATATATATATATATATATATATATATATATATATATATATAAAAAGGTATTGTAATTATTTACACTATTTACACTGTTGTCCTCATCTTTATTGCCATATTCACCTTCAACATCTGTCTATATTGCTGAGATGAGGTATTGTAATTATTTACACTATTTACATTGTTTGGACTGTTGTCCTCATCTTTATTGCCATATTCACCTTCAACATCTGTCTATATTTCTGAGATGAGGTATTGTAATTATTTATACTATTTACATTGTTCGGAATGTTGTCCTCATCATTATGGCCATATTCACCTTCAACTTTTGTCTATATTTACACTATTTCCATTGTTCGGAGTCATTTTCATTGCTATATTCACGACGTTTCGGCCGTTGTACGTTCCGGTCTTCTTCAGATGATATACGTTGGAATTTCGAGCCGAACCCCTTATTCAGTTCACTGGTGTAGATTGTTCTAGTTCCACATACCATACCTTTTCTGGATATCTCGGTTTCAGTCATTTCCCTTTTAGTAACTCAACTCTCCAATTTTTTTCTCACCTCTGCTGTAATCAGGTAATGAACTCAAAAATCTCTGTCAAATCACTGGATTATTTCAACCAGCGCTTTTATCCACTGGGCCATGTGTCCTAGGAAGAAAGCCGAAACGCACAACGGCCGAAACTAGTGTATTGTTTTTACGGATGTAAACAAACGCCAATCAGTCAGAGGGCTCCAATTCATTTTAC